CTTGACTTAGAGAGTCTAGGAGAAAATCAAACTTTGGAGTCATGTAGCATTTTTTAGAGAGTAAAAGAATAATGGAATAACAGAGTTGGGAAGGGACCTTGGAGGTCATCTAGTCCAACCCCCTGCTCAGGCAGGAAACCCTACACCATTTCAGACAAATGCTTGTCCAATCTCTTCTTAAAAACCTCCAGTGTTGATATGTTTTGCACGCGGGTTGCTCCCATTCAGTGGTTCAGGCTCATGAGAGTTTGCCAAACTGCGATTCATTTTCCAAAGGCTGCTTCAGAGGGTGCAAAGATTAAAAAACAACAACACAGCACCTAGGGGCAAGGTGCTCCGTTGCGTTCTGGGTTCACAAAGCTGTGGTTCTGGAAAACAAAACCGCTTTGCCAAGTTGTGGACACGGGTTGTATTCATACCCTTAGCTCGGGACCCTGATGCCTGGTGAAAACCTGGCCTTTGGCTTTTTATCCATGTAAGATGCAGAGGTGGCCAAAGGATTTCTTCTTTTTCTTTTTCTTTTTTGTTCCTTTCACTCAGATAAAAGGCAAGCTAATATGTGAATATTTTCATTTTGCATATCAAAAGACTGATTTGAAAATCCAGGCGCTCCGAGTAGCATATGGAATACGTTACTGTAGTTTATCTTCTTCCTTCTGTCCAATAAACATCTCTCAGATGTGGATATTGAACAGACAGGCAAAACATTCCAGCATTGGCCCCATCAGAATAGAGAGAAAAGCTGCCCAAAGAGTTGAATTTGAAAGTAAGCAAACCTGTACATATTGGAGGCTTAACTTTCTTCGCTTGGATCAGGTGTTTTTTTTACACCAGGTTGCTAAGTCGTGTCCGACTCTTTGCGACCCCGTGGATCATAGCATGCCAGGCCCCCTTGTCCTCTACTCCCCCCCTGAATTTGCCCAAATTCATGTTCATTGCACTGATGACAATATCTAACCGTCTCATACTCTGCTGTCCTCTCCTTTGGTCTTCCTTCTTTCCCAACCTCAGAGTCTCTTCCAATGAGTCTTCTCTTGCCATTTGGTGGCCAAAGTATTTGAACTTCAGCATCTGTCTTTTCCAAAGGACAGACAGGGTCCATTTCCTTCAGAGTTAGGGTTAGGGTTAGGGTTAGGGTTAGGGTTAGGGTTGACCGATCAGATCTCCTCGCAGTCCAAGGGACTCTCAAGAGTCTTAGCCAACACCACAATTCAAAAGCATCAATCCTTTGGCATCTAGGCCAGCGCCATCAGCCAAGTTCAGTACCTGGAAACATTTATTCTCTGCTGTCGGTTCAGGGTTCAGCTCCCGAGGCCTTTTGATGTATATAGGGCTTACAAAAATGCTTTCAACAAAACTCCTTTGACACTTGGTTATAAACCTGTTTTGCCAGTCTGCTATTGTTTGTCATCAAAAATAAAAAAAATAAATAAAGTTGGTGGGAAGAGTGGAGAGTGGAGGTTGGTGCCTCCGGTGGTGATGTATGCCTTTTTCCCTCCTGTCACCTTTGTCTTTCCTTCGTTGCTTTTCACACTTCAAGTTTCAATCCCAGGGCTCACAGTGGCCGATTTTCATAGCATTGCCTGAAAAATTCCAACTTCAATCTCTCTCTCTCTCTCTCCTCTCTCTCTCTCTTCCTCTCTCTCTCTTCCTCTTTCTCTTTTCCTCTCTTTCTCTCTTCTCTCTCCCTCCCTCTCTCTCTCTTTCTCCTCTCTCTCTCTTTCTCTCCTCTGTTTCTCTCTCTCCCTCTCTCTGTTCTCTCTCTCCCTCTCTCTGTTCTCTCTCTTCCTTTCTCTCTTCTCTCTCCCTCTCTTTCTCCTTCTCTCTCTCTCTTCTCTCCTCTCTCCCTTTCTCTCTCTTCTCTCTCTTTCTCTTTCTCTTTCTCTCTCTCCTCTGTTTCTCTCTCTTCCTCTCTCTCTTCTCTCTTCCTCTCACTCTCTTCCTCTCTCTTTCTCCCTT